GCAGCACTAAAAAAAAAAATAAAAAATTGCGGAATAGTGCAACACATAAAAGTGCAAAAAACATTAGTAGATGCAAAATCTAAAATCAAACAATATGGTAAAGTGCATCATGAATGTAATATGCTGAGTGAAACAGTAAAGTGCATCAAGTAAAAGCATGAAAATATCAGCTAAACAGCTGAAAAAGCAATTGCCAAACAATAAAGTGTATCACGGGCAGAATCTAAATACAATAATGTCTGTGGTGATCCATGACGTAAAGTGCAGTAGTAAATGATGTTACAATAAACCTATAAAATCTGATATATATAAATAGGATAAAACTCTACATCAATGTCCGTGGTTAAGCGTGCTATTTAATAATAGTAATACCACTCCAAAATTAAATGTGTTAAATTAATATAACCCTAATAGCATAAATTTCACCTACACCCCTGAAGAAGTAAAATATATAATTAATAAATATGCCACCCAAACAAATGTTATCCTATAATGTGCAAATAACTATAAATAAATAAAGTCCAAAAAATATTAAAGTCCAGAAAAATTCATTAAACCGCACAAGTGTCCTTCACAAAGTTATAAAGGTGATATCACAAAATTGTCCAAATGTTAGAGCCTCCCAAGGGCTTTCACGATCAAAGTCACCTCAAAAAGAAAGAAATCATACATAGTGCATTATCCTTATAAAATAAATACTACAAATCAATGTGTCAATTCACTATACTGTGTAACACACATGTGATCCCTCTTCAGTGAAAATAAGTGCATAAAACGTGTTCGTGAACTATTCAAAGGTGCCAAAAACAAGTGAAAAAACCAGTGTCCACTTCTAATAAAAGTAAGGAGTAAATACCCTTACCAAAATACAATATTAATCTCGCCTTAATGCCATCCAGATATAATGCGACAATAAGATAGCCCTCATGGGAAGATCTTTAAGGATGCCACTCCCTTGATGTTATCTGCGTTCATCAGCATACACACTCCATATTCCTCCTCATACCATGCTCCACCAAGATACCAATATATGAAGAGTATAATAGTGTAATATCGCCAACACACCATATAAAAATACTTTATTTATTAAGCTCACATGAGAATAGCCTTTAAAACCGCCTTAAAACCGATAATCGAAATCTCTCTGTTGTCCAGAGAACATCCAAAATGTTTGGTATGCTTCTTGCCACTTTCCAAGATGGCCGCTACTCCACTTCCGGTTCCCGTGTACGTCTGACCTCACTTCTCTTGACGCGTTTCCTCATCGGACTTACTCATAAGGGATCTTACTATAAGAAGAAAAAAAAACCCTAAACATTTAGAAATAAAAATGTTTTTTAGTTTCTGTTATAATAAGCATTCTTTTGAAATTTAGGCCAAAGTGTATTCTGCTACAGTTTTTTGGTTTAAAAAAAAAATAAATAAATATATATATATATATATTATATATTATTTAGACAAACTATGCTATATATAGCACCTTCAGGCTTTAAAGGGGTATAAATAATGCAACTAATTTTCAGGCTACCTTTCACATTGTTTGGAGGCCCTGAAGCACCAGAACAGCAGAAACACCCACAAAAAGACCACAATTTTAAAAATCAAACACCCCAAGGCATAGTGAGTTTCTGAAAATTTAATTTTTTGTGCCACAAGTTTATGAAACCTGTAGAAAGAGAATGAAAATTTATTTTTTACACAAAGCTGTCAATTAATAAGATATTTCTAACACATCTCATAGGCATACTTAGAATTACACCCCAAAACACATTCTGCTACTCCTCCTAAGTATGAGGATACCACAGGTGTGAGACTTTTTTAAAGTCTAGTGACATAGAAAGTTCCAAATTTCCTTTCACATTTTTGGAGGCCCTGGAGCACAAGGACAGTAGAAACACCCAACAAATAGACACATTTTGGAAAGTAAACATTCCACGATATATTTTCTAAGAGGCAATTTGAAAATTGCATTTTTTACCACAAGTTTTTGGAAAATACAGAAAGAAGATGAAAGTGTATTTTTTTGCACAAAGTTGCCAATTTTGTAAGATTGTTTCCATACATAGCATGGACATACTTAGAATTACTCCCCAAGACACACTCTGCTACTCCTGAGTATGGAGATACTGCATGTGTGAGAACTTGTGACACTGCATTTTGTGTATCACAAAAATCAACCAACATTGTATCAAAAACAAATATACTGTAATGCTCACCTCTGTACAAGTAGTCAGGGAAGTGTAGCTTCTCCTATAGCAGTCCCTGTTTCTAGGTGCCAAGCATGCCTAACCTAATGGTATGTAGCTACCTCTATAGCACAGTGCTACGTTCAATGGCCAGGAAGTACAGGAAGCTGAAAAAAGAGTATCTGTAGCTCCAGTAGAGCAGTTGTCAGTAGAGGATGGCTGGGACTGGTGTCAAGTAAGTGGGATATTTAGACGGGTAAGTACTGGTGCCAAGCAGAGATATGGTCAGCAAGATAAGCAAAGGATTGGTGCAGGTGACAGGGAGAAATATGGTCAGGGTCAGTACAGTCAGACATGTGGTCTGAAAACAGTCAACGGATTGGTCCAGGTGGCAGCCAAAGACATGCTCAGTATGCAGGCAAAGAATCGGTTCATGCAGCAGGCAGAAGTGTAGTTGATAAACAGGCCAGGGTCAGTTCTGGTGGCCAGCAGAAACCTGGTCAGCATGCAAGCAAAGGATCAGCAGGCAAATATATAGCTGACTAGCAGGCCAGGGTCAGTTCAGGCAGAGGGCAGAAACATGGTCAATATGTTGTAAAAGAATCTCTCCAGGCAGCAAGAAGAAATGCAGTTGACTAACGGACAGGATCAGTTCAGACAGCAGCAGAAATGTGGTCAGCATGCAGACAAAGGATCAGTACAGGCGGAAGGCAGAAACATGGTTGACCAACATGTCAGGGTCAGTTCAGGCAGCAAGCAGAGACATGGTCAACATGCAGACAAAAGATCATTCCAGGCAGTGGGGAGAAACATGGCTGATCAACAGGCCAGTCTCAGTTCAGGAGGCAGACTGGGACATTGTCAGCGTGCAGGCAAAGGATCAGTTCAGGTGGCAGGCAGGAACATGGTGGATAAACAGGTCAGGGTCAGTTCAGGCACTAAGAAGAGGTGCGGTCAGTATGCAGGCAAAGGGTTGGACTGAGCAGTAGGCAGAAACATGGCTGAGAAAACAGACGAAGGGTCAGTACACAGAACATCAGATACATCAGGCAAATGGCAACTAGACAGGCACATTAGGAATACATTCACCATAACTTCACTTATATCATAGTGAGGTATGGTAATGATGGAAGCAGTCCTTTATGCAGAAGACAGGTTGTAAGGGACAGTGGGGACAATGGTAACGTGTCAGTTATTTTTTTGACTCCATCTTTGGAGAATGTATAACTTTTTTGGGGGTCTTTGGGCTGTTTGAGTAGAAGGGAGAAGATCAGGAAAGTGTCTTTCAAACTTGCTGACTCTCCCCTTTTCAGCTTTGTGATGACCAAAAAAGTCATTGTGATTTGGTTGTATTGTACCACAAGCTATAGCTTGCTTCAGAAAAGGGTGTTTATAAAATGTCACACTGGAGTAGAAATTGTTCACATCAAGGTGGTATCCCTAATGAAATAAGGGTGACAAAAGGTCCCACATTATCTTTTCGCTGATACCCATAAAAAATGAAAGTCATACGTGTACCCTGTGGCCCTAGGGTTGCCACCTCATCCCTTTAAAACCGAACACATATTAATTACGCAGGTTCTGAGGCTAATTTAATGCAGATAAGGCACTAAGTGAGTTTAATTGTCACTTTAATCAGCCACAGAACCTGTGTAATTAATATATATTCGCTTTTAGAGTCGTGAGGTGGCAACCCTATGTGGCCCTCTCACAAAGTATATAAAACTTTACCCCATATCTGACACGTTTGGGGAGATACTGTTTGATGCTAAGTGAAATGTATGAGGAACTCACCAATGCAGATATTTATGTTAGGAGTTAAAATTTAGGGTAAGACCAAGGAAGGTTTTTAAGTCAGAAGTAGTAATAGGCTTCTGACATAATGGAATTGAGATTACTGGCATACAGGTTACATTGTTCCACAATTAGATTTAATAATTATTCTGTGAAAAACAAATAAGAAAATGAATGGATGTAAAATTATCTGTTTCTACCTGAATACTTGGTTTCACTGTAAATGGGGGATGGCAGGCACTGCTGTAGAGGATAGCTGCAAAGGATACAAAAGTGCCTCTGGGACATTGGTATGGGCTTTGTGGCTGATGTTGTAACACCCCACTACGTGTGCTTGTCACTTCACCAGGATGTACTGCACTACTGATGCTTGCTGGCTGCAATTCAGTTTGATGTTCAGCATGCCTTTTGTTGGGATCCTCTGAATCAGAGGTGGCCAGTGCACCACTGCATTCCATAGGTTCATATTCTGAATCGGAAACTGACTGTGAGTTCTCCTTCCCATTACTCTCATCAGCCATTTAAAAGGGCTTACTTGTGTAGCTTTCTTTGGACTTTTTTGGCCGTGGCTATACTGATACCTTATGCAAATGCAATCAGTAATACTGTTGCTGGCTGCACTGGTGTGGTGACCCTGGAACTGGTGTGGCAGCGATCAGGAACACTATTGTTTGCTCACACAGGTTTGGTCATACTGTGACTGGTCTGGTGGCAATCAGGAAAACTGCTGCTGGCTGCACTGGTGTGTCAACCCTGGAACTGGTGTGGCGGCAATCAGAAACACTGTTGTCGGCTCACACTGGTCTAGTGGCACTGGGACTGGCTAGCAATCAGGAACAGTTTTTGTGACTTACACTGGTGGTGACACTGTGACTAGAGATGAGCGAATTATTCAAAAATTCGATTCGGCTGATTCGGCGAATTCGCGGAATAAATTCGATTCGAGTCGAATATATTCGCTGCGAATTTAACTTATAAAAAGGGTGTTTTCTAGGCTTCAGAGAGCCTTTATATTAGTGCAGAACACTGTACCTTTAATTTAAATGCCCTTAGATGAGTGCCGTCGATCTTAGAATCACCGCACACTTCACTCATTTGGGCAGTCACGGGGCCAAAACCAGAGTGTGGAGCCACAGTGTGGCGGTGGAGGCAGCAGCAATGGGAGGCCATACAGCACCCTATGAAAAAATGGAACCCACCAGCAGTGTGAGGAGACCTGAAAGTGGCACATGGCAGAGTGTGGCGATGGAGACAGCAGCAATGGGAGGCCGTACAGGGACCCATGACACACTCTGGACCTGGCAGCAGCATGAGGAGGCGGTACAGGGGCCCATGGACAGATTACAGGCCTGGCAGCAGCATGAGGAGTTGGTACGGGGGCCCATGGCAGATTACGGGCCTGGCAGTAGCAATGGGAGGCCCGTAATCTGCCAGCACCCTATGACAAATGGAAACCCACCAGAAGTGTGAGGAGACCTGAAAGTGGCACATGGCAGAGTGTGGCGATGGAGACAGCAGCAATGGGAGGCCCGTACAGGGACCCATGACACACTCTGGACCTGGCAGCAGCATGAGGAGGCGGTACAGGGGCCATGGCAGATTACCGGGCCTGGCAGCAGCAATGGGAGGCCCGTACAGGGACCCATGACACAATGGACCTGGCAGCAGCATGAGGAGGCGGTAAAGGGGCCCATGACAGATTAGGGCACAATGGCAGACAGCATGTGGAGTCCGGTAGGGGGCCATGCAGATTACGGGGGCTGGCAGCAGCAATGGGAGGCCGTAATCTGCCAGCACCCTATGACAAAATGGAACCCCCAGCAGTGTGAGGCGACCTGAAAGTGGCACATGGCAGAGTGTGGCGATTGGAGACAGCAGCAATGGGAGGCCGTACAGGGACCCATGACACACTTCTGGACTGGCAGGCCCCCAAGCATGAGGAGGCGGTACAGGGGCCCATGACAGATACGGGCCTGGCGCAGCATGAGGAGTCGTCCGGGGGCCCAATGGCAGATTACGGGCTGGCAGCAGCAATGGGAGGCCCGTAATTCTGCCAGCACCCTATGACAAAATGGAACCCACCAGCAGTGTGAGGAGACCTGAAAGTGGCACATGGCAGAGTGGATGTGGCGATGGAGACAGCTGCAATGGGAGGCGACCGTACAGGGACCCATGACACAACTTGGGACCTGGCTAGCAGCATGAGGAGGCGGATACAGGGGCCCATGACAGATTACGGGCCAGGCAGCAGCAATGGGAGGCCCGTAATCTCTGCCAGCACCCTATGACAAAATGGAAAACCACCAGCAGTGTGAGGAGACTGAAAGTGGCACATGGCAGAGTGTGGCGATGGAGACAGCAGCAATGGGAGGCCGTACAGGGACCCATGACACACTCTGGACCTGGCAGCAGCATGAGGAGGCGGTACTGGGGCCCATGACAGTTTACGGGGCCTGGCAGCCGACGAGGAGGCGCGTACGGGGGGCCTGGGAATACGGGCCATGGCAGCAGCAAGGGAGGCCTCGTAATCTGCCTAGCACCTATGACAAAATGGAAACCACCAGCAGTGTGAGGAGACCTGAAAGTGGCACATGGCAGAGTGTGGCGATGGAGACAGCAGCAATGGAGGCGTACAGGGACCCATGAAGGACATCTGGACCTGGCTGCCAGCATGAGGAGGCGGTAAAACGGGGCCATGCCCGAATTACGGGTGGCAGCAGCATGGGAGTCGGTACGGAGGCCATGGCAGATTAGGGCTGACCTAGCAGCAGCAATGGGAGGCCGTAATCTGCCAGCACCCTATGACAAAATGGAACCACCAGCCAGTGTGAGGTGACCTCTGAAAGTGGCACATGGCCAAGAGTGTGGCGATGGAAGACAAGCAGCCAAGTGCGGCCGAACAGGGGGGCCCATGACAGATTACAGGGACAGGCAGCCGCATGAGGATGTCGGTACGAGGGGCCCATGACAGCTTACTGGCCTGGCAGCAGCAGACGATGAGTTGGTACGGGGCCCATGAAGATAACGGGGCTGGCAGCAGGCAATGGGAGGCATACAGACCTAAGAAAAATGGAACTCACCAGCACGTGTGCGGAGAACCTGAAAGTGGCAAATGGCCGAGTGTGGCGATGGGGGGGGGGGCAGCAGCCCCCCAGGGCCGATACGGGGACCCATGGGACAGTGTGGACCTGGGTCAGCCAGCAGCAATGAGAGGCGGTACAGGGGACCCAGGAAATTGGGGTGGGGCGAGGAGGGGGTAAGGGGCCCCCTGAACAGTTAGGGCCTGGGGAGCCGCTGAGGGTTTGGTACGGGGGCCCCTGGCGATTAGGGCCCCGGCA